TTATGCTTTCTACCCTTCACTATGATAACAATATTGATACATCAACTGGGGATTTGAAAAAATTAGAAATTATCACATTTTACAATCTCACCAAGGCTGGTGTTGATGTTGTGGATCAGCTATGTTCAAATCATTCAATATCCAGAATAACAAATAGATGGCCTATGGCAATTTTTTATAATTTGTTGAATATATCTTGCATAAATTCTTTATTTATTTATAAATCCAATAATTTAAAAAAGATTAATAGATCAAAGTTTATAAAATTATTAGCAATGGAGCTAATAACTCCATTAATGAGTAATAGATACGAAAACCCACATGTTAATAAACTGCTAAGGGATAATATTGGGAATATGCATAATATAGAGGAATTAAAACCTATATCAACCAAACAAAAAGGAAGGTGCTCCTCTTGTCCAAGAGTTAGGGACAAGAAATCCTCATTTATTTGTTCAAAATTTGTATGCAAAGATCATATGTATGTAACATGTCGTGAATGTTTTTAAAAAAAAATGCATGAACTTTAATATCAAAAAAATTTTTTTTTAATATCTGATGTTTTATTATATAATTTATTTAATGATTACTATAAAATATTAAATTAATAAAATATATAATCAAATTTGTTTCCTTACATTTATTTTTGGTCATATCATATGATTAAGGAAAGTTCCAAAAAAAGATTTTTTTTTGAGCAGCTTTAGTAAAAATACCATAACTTTATTTAGAAATAAATAGAAATCTAGAAATTTTGTATTTATTATCTCTAATATTTTTACAATAAGTGTGTAAAATTTTAGATCTTAAATTTTATTATTTTCTGAGATAGAGCTATTTAAAATTTGGGGTAAAATAGACCCCACCTATGTAACCGCGGGAGTTTTTTCCACCTACGTAGTGAAGGGTTAACATTAATTACTGCAATTCGTAGTTTAGTAATTTTAATTTAACATTAATTATGGCAATTAATAGGTTAGTCATTTTAATTTAACATTATATACGGTAATTCGTTGTTTAATCATTTTAATTTAACATTAATTACGGCAATTCGTAGTTTAACCATATTTAATATTTACCGCAATTCGCAGTTTAGACAAATTAATTTAACATTAAATACTGCAATTCATATAGTCATTCTAATTTAACATTAATAAGCGCAATTAGCATTTTAGTCATTCTAATTTAATATTAAATACGGCAATTCGTAGTTTAGTCATTTTAATTTAAAATTCGTACTTTAATCATTTTAATTTAACATTAATTACGGCAATTTGCAGTTTAGTCATTTTAATTTAACATTATATACGACAATTAGCAGTTTAGTCATTTAAATTTAACATTAATTACCGCAATTCGCAGTATAGACATTAAATACGGCAATTCGTCGTTTACTCTTTTAATTTAACATTAAATACGGCAATTTATAGTTTAGTCATTTTAATTTAACATTATATACGGTAATTCGTAGTTTAGTCATTTTAATTTAACATTAAATACGGTAATTCGTAGTTTAATCATTTTAATTTAACATTAATTAGGCAATTCGCAGTTTAATCATTTTAATTTAACATAAATGTAATTTTTGAAATGGTTTTAAAAAACACATCGTTAGCTCCCTTTTCAATGATTTAAAGTGTGCCAAAAGGAATGGTGCTTAGGTAAGTATACAGATTTTCATAGTTCAACAAATGGCAGAGGAACTATTTCATCCTCCGATTCCTCTCCATGTTCATATACTCTAATAAATAGTAAATATATTATAATTTTTTTACTTGAAAGCTTTTATATGATTTCTAGCATTGTCGGTAATGCATCTGGTTATTTTATTTTCCATCATATATGTATTAAGAATTTCAAAGATTATTTTTGCTATATAATCAAATGTGTTTTTGGTTTAAGCTAAGCAGGCTGAAACTCTCTCAGGAGTGTCTGGGCGTAGCCAGTGTACTGTCATCCCTAAACAATAACTTTTTTAAAAGACAATATTATCAATCTATAAAATATATATTTTATATACCAATGATAAGCTGAACAAGAATCCTCAGTTGTACACACAATAAATTCACTAATTTCTTTGCCACGGTGTCATATGCTTTGTTAATTTTTGCTACGAGGGTAGACCTAGACATCACATTTTTAGTTGGCTGCAATTTTTTGATAATATTAATAAATGCAGTGCTTTCTACTATTGAAAATGGTTGTAATTCTTCAATTACAAAATTAAAAACTAATTCATTAACAGCTGATTGTGCTATTTTTATTTTTGATCTAGATATATTATATACCTCAATGACTGAGTTGACTGGCTTCTTATATTACTATTCAAATGTGTATTAATCTCATACATTTTTGAGGATGTACAGTCCATAATTTTTAATATATTATTAATTCTTTTTTTATTTAACTTAGCTCCAATTTGAATCGTGAATATTAATTATATGCTTGAGTCGACTAGAGAACGAGTATTTCAAATTAGTTATTAATATTTAAGATATTTGTTCTATTTTTAATATTTTATACTTTAGACTTCCAACATGAATCGTGAATACGAATTTTATATTTAAGTCGACTAGAGGACGAATAGTTTTTATGAACAAGAGGCGTCGACTAGTGGATTCAAATTCATTATCAAGATATTTGTTTGTTTTTATTTTTTTTAGTTTACACTTCCAGTATGATCGTGAATACGAATTATATTCTTGATCGACTAGAGGACGAGGACGAATAGTTCTTATGAACACGAGCCGTCAACTAGTGGACGAGTATTTCAAATTAGTTATTATTAATTAATAAGATAATTATTCTGTTTTTTTATATTCTTTTACTTTAGACTTCCAACTTGAGTCGTGAATACGAGTTATATATTTGAGCCCACTAGAGGGAGTAGAATATTAGGAATGGGAAAGATCGGATCAAAATTGAATTTAATCAAGGATTTGTTTTATATTTTTGTGATATAAAAAATATATATAAATAAAATTGACAATGTAGAATGTTTAATTCCATATAAAATCAATCATGATACAACCACCATTTCAGATTTTGATAAAACTTTGCACATAGGTAAATAAAGTATTGGAGTTGGTAAATCCAGAATTTTAGCCCCCTAGATTTATTAAAAGTATAGATATAGGGTCTCAAAGTATCTATTTAGTCATTTTTCTAAAAAAAATTTTTTTAAATTGAGATAAGTTTACTAATAAAAACACTATAAACATAATTAAGTTCTAACAGGGCTATGAGGTCAACATTTTGGATTCACCAATTACAACACTTTTTTTTACCTAAGAGACCTGCTGGCCCGTAAATAATCCCGGCCCAGGTACACGGATCGGATTTTAATTTTTTTAAATATACCCGGGCCTGGCCTAAATTTTTTTAAAGCGGTTAGGGTCAAAAAATTTTTTAAAAATTTTAAAACCAAATATTTTAAATCGCCATTAGCTATATAATATATTTTAAAAAAACCAGAAAAGTTATAAATTAAATTTTAGGGAGTAGTAAAGATTTGAACAGATATATCTAAAACAGAATCAGCTAGTGCTCGCTATCTATATAACCGTGAGTTATGGTAGAATAATGCTTTTTGTTTAAAAAAAATCTTAAAAATCAAACTTAATATATAAGCGTTAGCTATTTGGAATGAAGATGGGCACCAAGTTTTTACATTTGACTTTAAAAAAAGCTGTTAAAGCAAGGATTTGAACCGAACCCGGCTAAAATTTTTGCCGGGTTAGCACCCTTATGTTTAAGTTACTAAATATAATTTTTATTTATAATAGTGAGCTAAATAAATTAATTTTGTGGAATAAAAAATTATCCAAAGTCCATAATAAAGCCAAGGTTTGTCTGAACATCCTAGAGCTCTGGTTCATCCAAAAAAAGCCGGCAATTATATAATACATCACAGTAAGAATAGGTTTTAAGTAATAACCCCCCCCCCCCCCACTAAGATAATTAAACATCTTGCTGGGATATAGTGTAGGTTTATATTAAATTGTTATAAAGTTTATTCACAAATAAGATAAAAGCCTTAAATATTATAAAAAATCCTAGACTAAATTCAATTTTCCCCCGATCTTCCCCACCTAATATTCTACTCGCCCTCTAGTCGACTCATGTATATAACTCGTATACACGACTTAAATTGGAAGTCTAAAGTAAAAAAATATTTAAAAAACAGAACAAATGTTTTATTAATTAATAATATACTAATTTGAAATAATTGTCCTCAAGTTGATGATTCGAGTTTATAAGAACTACTTGTCCTCTCAATTCTAGTTGGAAATCTAAAGTAAAAATAAATGTTTTGTTAATTAATAACTAATTTGAAATACTCGTCCTCTAGTCAAGGAAATGTTGTTTGTTAAATGATTCAATAATATTCAAAATATTAGTCCTCTAGTCGTATAACTCTAGTTTGCGACTCAAATTGAAAACTCGTGTTCTCGATTATTAGACTTGATTTCGCGGCTTGAGTTAGTCAACTAATTCGACTAACGACTCTGAGTCGGGTGAATTCGACTTTTTAACAACACTATTTGTAAATTATAATTAACCCTCGTACATGATATTTTTTAGTTAAAAAACCTTTTTAAAAAAATTAAAAAATCAATAGGAAAGAAAGAAGGTGCTGTTAATTTTTTTTCTATCACCTTTAATTATATTATTTTTATAAATTAATTATAACCAAATAAATATAATAATTTTGAAAAAATTTCGGTATAGATAGCAGGTATCGGCCAAAAAAGTTGTATAGAAATTCGTAAAATTTATGAAAATGTATGATTATTTTTTTAAAATATTTTATTGTTATTATATTATAATTACATGATGATTTGATTTTCAAAAAAGTATAAAAATATTTTAGATTAAAACTTTAAAATATATTGACGAAAAGATTAGTTTACATTGCGCTACCTCACAATTTATAAATGAGCATTATATGAAATAAATTTATTCAAAAAAATTATATAATATAAATATTACAATTAAATGATTAATTCTTAAAAAGTGGAGAATTTATATTATATTATAAATGTTTTTGGATTTTTAATATTGCACGAAATGTAAATGTCAAATATTCAAATAACGCCTGGCACCGTAAATATAATCTTTTTAGTAAATATAGGACATCTTTGTAGCAGTTATCTATTTTACAATTTAAATGTTTAAAAAAGAAATTAATAAGAGAGCAAATAAAGGTTAAAATTCTATGTTCCAATTCACACAGTGTTCTATCATATTCAAATAACATCAGCTGACTTATTTATAATGGTGCTATTTGTTTTCGAAAAATGTGTCGATTGAGAGGAATAAGAAGAATCTTTCTTATCAGTAAGTGGGTTAGACTCGTTTGCCCCGCTTTTGAAATAGGAAAAATTGAAGAGGGGAAGGTGATTCGACTGGGACAATAGCGATGAAGACGATGATTGTTGATAATTTCTAACGTTGTACGGATCCCATACGAGCGTGTAATAGAGAGCTAATATGATGGCAGCAAGACTGACCGCCAGAGTATAAACCATTACAGTGGCGATCCTAACCCACTTCCGATTAGTTTTAGCCACCATGCGGGCCCGCTTCTCACCTGTGTAAGTAGGAGGTGGGGCAGTAGTCTTATTGCTTCCCCCACCAGATCCACTCCCGACCATGGCAACTCGGGGATAGCGCGCGCCCCCAACCACTGCCCCCAGATGAAGAGATGGCGGCTGCATCATGGAGGGTAAAGGGTTCTTGATTGAGGACTGACGAACCATTTTGGGGCGGGAGACGGAGCCTGGCCCGTTCTTGACGTTATTCATTATAAGCAGGCGCTAAGAGATGGTGCAGGTCGAGATTGAGGCATATCTATTTCTTTTAAAGTAATTTTAAATAGGTCATAAATTTATATGACATAGAGATGTGCAAATCACGGAAAAATCGTTTCGGGCCTAATATTTTTTAAAAAATTTCGGGCCGGGTCAGGCTTAAATTCTAAAATATTATATCATTTCATTCTGACAAATAAATTGATATATTTTAAAATTCTTGAAAGAAACAAAGCGCTAATATTTTTATTTGTAAAATATTTAATATTTAAATAAATTCGGGCCGGACCGGGCGGGCAAATAATTTTCATTTCGGGTCGGGCTTTTCGGGTAAATAAAAAAATTTTGTTTGGATCGTACTGAGCCGGACAAAATTTTTTAAAAAAATTTCAGACCGGGCTTGAAAAATTAGACCCGATGCCGATCACTAATTTGACATAAAAGAGTTTATTATAAAGTAGTTGAGTTGGGGAAGGGATTTTTTTTCAGTTAATATAAGGCTCCTCTATATTTTTAGTTATTTTATTTCTTCCAATGAATCGAAATGCTAACTTCCCTTCCCCAATACCTTCTTTAGAAACCCCTGTGAAATGTAGGGATGTAACATAAGGGAAATTTTCCCTATAGTTTCCTCAATTTTTATTTTATGTTTTTTAGATCAAATAATCAATAAAATATTTATTTCTTCTTGATTCTATAGCGATCCCAAGTCCCATTTTCTATAAATTAACTGAAACAGAGACCAATAAGCATATGAGAATATATATTAGATAACTTATTAAAGTAATTTAAGAGATAAGAAACATAAAAATTAACATAATAATAAAGGATAATGCAAGTAATGAAGAAAGCCTGAACATTTGTGAGAAATAAATAGCCAATTATCGAATGCAATGGGTCTGCATTTCATGGACTTAATTTGCGTTTAAAGAATCTAGCAAATAAAATATAGCCAATTTTTTTAGTAAATTTCAAGGTATTATATATGTAAAATTCAACATTCTTTTACACATTTAAGTAAAAACAACTATTTAAAGATAAAAATAGAATTGTTTCATTTAAGTTGCTTAGCCCAATTCGCTGGATAGTATAATTTTAATAATTAATAGTCTGTTAAAAAATAAAAATATTTTGAGGATACCCCATATTTTCATAGATATACTTAATCTTCTTGATAATGAAGATTTTTAAATGATCTTAAGCACAAATAGAGGTAGTAGAAGCGGATAGATCAAATTTATTTCCTTAAGCATTTATTCAAAAACGGAAATAATTTTTATTGCTGCGACATACATTAACCTCTTCATATACTTGACCCAGAATTTAAAGACAATAAAGTTTATAAAGGGTTCGATGTAATTAAACCGGTTTTCTGGATATCTAGATTTAGATTTTGAAAGATAAATGGCAAATTGCTCGATTTTAAAGATCTGGAATCGTTTTTATCTTCAAAAGAAAACAAATGAAATAATTTAAATTAAATCTTATTTGTTTTAATAATATTAATAGTCTAAATATATTTAATAAAACATGGGGGAAAAAATCAATATTGACCTGTAAAATAATTTTTTAAAGGAAATTTCCCGTTTTTCCCCCCCAAATTTCCCTCAATTATAGTTTCCAGGGAAATTTATATCCCTAGTCAAATGTTAAATATTTTTTTATATAAAATTATCAGTTGTTAAAAGATACTTTTTAAATGGATCTAGATACAGATACATAGTCGAAAAATTTTAGATACAGATACAGCTTCTAAAAAGTCTTGATACAGATACAAGTTAAAATGTATCTAGGTACAGATACATTTTTTATTATACTCTTAGATAAGGTTTGAATAAACCTAAATTAGGATTCTATTGTGAAAATTCATGAAATGATCTAAAAAATTTATTGACTCGATATCACATTTATCAAAATATAACTAAAATAATGATTTTTAGATATTAATATAATATATGATTAATATAAATATTTGATAATTCCTCAACTAATCTTTGTATTAATTGTTTTTTTTATTAAAATTTTCATCCATTTGCAACCATGTCCAATCTAGTTTAAAAAAAGGATGAAGCATAGTTGCCAAAATATTTTCATCTTCAAAAATTGTCCCAATAAACCTAGAATTATTAAATATTGATTAATTTACCTATCTTCAATCCCTTTAAGTAAGGCATTTAAGAGTGGTAAACAAAATTTCAGGTTCATTTGTTTAAAATTTTTCAATTAAATAATGAGCTGGGAAATAGTTGCACACTAATAAGCTGTGAACTGACTCCTATGTATGAACTAAAAATTAACATTTCTTAAAACAGTTTAATTTGTTTGTAATTAAATTATTATACAAATTTAAATGTTAGCTATACCGGCGAAGGCACTCCAACAATCTCCTATTGTGCATATTAACGATGGTTCTATTAGACTTTTAATGATTTCTTTCTTTTCATTCTCCCATCTTTGGGAAATTCTAGCAACCACTGTCTATCTGCAAATTATATAATATTTTTTTGTGGAGCTAATGTTTTGATCATTTTTATAAATGATGGATTTTCAACAACTAAAAATGGCTGAATGCTACCTATAATAAAATCAGTTATTAAATCATCTAGTGGTTTGGATTAAAGTCTGAGGTCTCTTGGGAAAAAAATCAATGGACGATGAGCCTTGTCCAATATTTCCTTTAATAGATTTTTTCTCCTTCCCCTTTTTTATTTGGATTAAGAGTGTTTGATGTTTTCTCTTAAAATTTAAAATTGTAAACATTTATTTAGTATCTATACCCTTAAATGTTTTACAATGTTGCAAGTTGAGGTAATGCTAACTGAAATTTGTATATTTTTTGGTAGACATGGCAAACATTTTGCTAACAGATATTTGTTTTCTTTATTTTGAGATATTATTTTAAAATATGGTCTATAAATTGGCCATGGAATGTCGTCATTTTCGTCATCAATATTAATCTTAAAAATTAATATAATAGAATAAAATAAATAAAAATACCAATTCCATTGCAATTAAAAATAAAAATTCCTTGAGATGGATTGTAATATCAGAATTTGCTTGTTATTGATAACCCGGACATAATATTTAATTAATATTTATATATTCTTTTTTATATATAAGTTTTAATATTTTACATATATATATAATTTTTTAATGTATATATTAATATTAAGTTATATGCTCATATGAAATAAAATAAATTTTACATTCAAGTATTTTTATTTATAATATAAAAAAGCGTTAAATAAAAGTATATCAAAATGTATCTTAAAGAGTATCTAAAAACAGATACAGATACCTCTAAAATAATATCTAGATACAGATACTTTAATCAAAAATCTATCTAGATACAGATACCACATTTTTATATCTAGATATTTTAACAACTCTGAAAATTATGTATACAAGGGTAATATAATATTTTCAATAAAAAAAATACTAAATTAATGAGTATATTTTTCTAAAGAAAAATGTGAAAATTTTAATAGGCCATGATACACTTATCAGCGTTGTTATACACTACTCTCAAAACTAGCGCAATAAAGGAAAGTTTCGAAGGAAAAAAAATTTTCAAAAAAGTAACACGCTATCACTAAACCTACAACAAAAATTAGTGCTAATTTAACAAGACTGAAATTGTGATAAATTAAATTAATTCATTCTTTTAAAGTGAATATTTTTTAGGACAGAGCATATAAGATGTAATTGGTTCAGTAAGTTCCAAAAATCAAACACTTTAGAACTCTCCCTCTCCTCCCTTTTTCTATTAGTGATTAATTTTTAAATTATATTATGATAAACATATTTTAATTAACCTTTTTTCTAAGATAAATCAATTGTTTATAACATAATATTACACAAATTAAACAACCAATCTAATCATTTATAAAATTTTGTTATTTGAAATTAAAAAAAGATTAAAATATATCTAAATTAGTTTATTATTTAATTATTATATAGTTGTTTTTGTAGCCTACCATCCTGAAGACAAACGTTATTATAATTACTTTAACCGACACATTTCTTATCACATCTTTTAACCCTGAAATATAGTCCAAATTTAACAAACAATGAGACCGAGGTAACAATGGAATGTGGAAAATTTTATCTTAATACTAATCTCTTATTCATCATGGTAAAATTTAAAGCTACAAATAATCCGTAAAAATATGTTTTCAAATGAAATAATAAAGTTTAACACATTTGAATGGTTAGTAAGATTCAATTCAAGATAGAATCATAGTAAAACAATAAACAGCTTCAGTGGAGAGAGTATTTTCATCATTTAGAGTGTTTTCCAAACTTAGGAATTATTTATAAAAACTTTCTTTTAAACAATTAAATTTAAATACCAATGTTGATGACACAAATAATACTTACGATTGTAAATTTATTATTATTAAAATTATTTATAAATTAACAAAAATTATATTTTTTATTGCAAAGAAAAAAAGATGGCACTACAATATCGACATAATAAAATAAATATAATATTAGTGTTTTATATTTAGAATATTAAATAATTTCCCATTGCATTCCAATTAAAATTATACAAATTTTATATATAATGTTAAAAATTGTAATAATGAAAATCAAAATAAATCAAGTAATTTTTTTTATCTAACAAGTAATTACTACTACAATTTAGTATTTTTCATATAAAATCATATAATTCTAGAATAATCCAAGTCTTTATCTTTATTACATTAAATATTGATTTAAATTACTGATTTTTTTTAAATATTGGGGTATTATAAATTGTAATTTAAAACTGATGGTAATGCTAGTTAGCCATTATGAACCTGGAAATCAAAAAAATTTACATTTTATTTGACTATAAAACTTATGTTATCTTTTTTGTTTCAATTAATTCAATGTCTATTAATTATGCTTTCCTACAAAAAATCATATTTGGAATTTAAATTTATTTTCATATAAAATTTAAATACATGTAAAATATATTTCAGACACATAGTATATTTAAATGAGAGTAGAGATATGCAAATCCAGCCTGTGAAATTTTTGCACAGGTTGCTCAGC